GCAGTTAACAACCCTCAAGACAGCACAGGATTCTGGAAATCAAGTAAATGCATCGAAAAGGATTGTTGAGCTACCTAACTGAAAAAGAACAGGGATAATTTATGGCTTATACACCAATGATGAACAAGTAGGAATGGGGTGCAACAGTAATTTATGCATTGCGTGGCAGGAAAACACTCTTTTAGAAATGAAATCTTTTAACAGGAGTATGGAAAGTTAGAGAAAAACAGACCAAAAAAAACAACAACCAGATACCGGAAAGGCGTAGTGAGTGGTGTATTAAACAGTGGCGTCCAAAAGAAACTTAGAAATGTAATCACCCTATCATCGTGTTATAGCCTTGCACTATCCGCTCATGCAGCATACCAATTTAAAGCTGAATACAATTCTGCATCATCTGACCAATTAATATTTCATCTTTGGTAAGAGAAGCCCGATATTATGTGGTCACTCAAAACTGACCTTGAAAAATCAGGCTTGGCCGGCAAAATTGTGAGAAATCAAAGAAAGGTAAAAGTGTGTTCGCACGTATATTGAGGTGAATCCCATTGGTGGAACGGACATGTATAGATCAAATGAAAAGAAAATATTAATTATTGTCTCTGCAATGAAGTGTATCTTCTGATGATATTTTCAAAACGACTGGAAAACAGAGTAGTAATAAATACCACGCAAAACCTGGATTCAACATTACGTGTGCTTATTAGCGTAATTTTGCTTTTGTTTATGAGCTATTGGTTTCGTGTGAAGCACGTAACCTTTTTGCACATGGACTGTGCTAGTTAGATTTTGGACATAAAAGTAATCATCTGCCAATGAGGGACAGAGGCCACAAAATTGCCTTGGTTTTGGGTGGTCTGGGGTGGAATGAACAAAGCCGCCCTCGTGAGAATTACCGAATGGCTTGGCTTAGCGGACCACATGGCCGTTATGTTTTTCCCTCATTTTGGTCATTGTGTCATTCATCTCCATGCATAGCAAAGCACTTTCTTTTAGGGCCAACACCACTAGGCAATTAATTGTAAAAACTCAAATCAACGTTGGAGTGGTCTCTAATAATATGAATCATAATATAGATGTGAATTCCATGAAATAGCAACTGAAGAAAAACGACTTTGCCCCCAATTCAGACCCTTTGTTTGCAACTATCTGTGACATTTGGGAAGAAATCAAATATAATTATGTCAAAAATGTTATAGAGTCGATGCCCAAAGGGTTCGTGCACTACACAAAATCAACATCTCCTAAGCAAAATGAAATAATGACCACAGTGAATAAACTTTAAGTCCAAGTTTTGTGTGGTATTTGTGATTGCTCTGTTTCCGGCTTTGTTTCAAAGTATACTAATAAAATTGTTTCTTGCAGACAAAATTCTCCATTCATTGGACATCAAATGTATGTCCATGTTTCAATGTTTATGCTCCTCAATACCATTTCGTACAATTTTGCCAAGCCTGATTTTTTACAGTCGATTTTGAGTGACCATATCTTGGCCTTCTCTTTACATAGATTAATTATTAATGTCAAATACCTGATGTAAAATGTATTTGGCTTTTAATTAGTATGCTACATGAGTGTGTACTGCAGGGTTTAACACGATGATTGGGTGATTACAATTTTAAGTTTCTTTTAGACGCCACTTGTACAGAGAGAGTGAGAGGGAGAGAGAGGGAGAGAGAGGGAGAG